GGAAAGGCCAAACATGGCCGGGGGATACAAGGGCCTCCTTAATGGAGAGGAATGCCTTCTCCTGCTCAGGAGTCCACTCAAATTTAGCCTTACCTTTGCACAAATCATATAGAGGGGCAGCCATGGCGGACAAAACCTTTTATAAACTTGCGGAAGAAATTCGCCATGCCAATAAAACCTTTGACTTCCTTGACGGTTTTGGGCGAGGTAAATCGCGAATTGCTCGAATATTACGCTCGGCGGGACGGTACGCCGTCCGGGAGGCGGGAATATATCGAGGACTCCCAAAGGAACGCTGTGTTTTTTGATTGTCCGGCATGGCATGTCGGTAAGCTTTCTTACCAGATGGCTTTGATATTATACAGCCGGAAACGCTCAAAAACCTTATACGCAAGGAATCGAGATGGGACGGGAAGTCCTTGTCAAAAATGATGATATCGTCGAGTCGACGGAGCCAGACCGAAAACTGCATGCCCTCCTCGGTAGAACGGAGAAGGGGAACCACCTTGGGAGTCTGAGCTCCAGTCCCAGCATAGCTACCGAAGGTAGAGAATCAAGGCGACTACCAACCGCAGAGAAGGACTCGTTCAACTTACGAGACAACGACGAATTGCCTTCATTGATTTTCTGGACCAGAGCTGTGGTCTGTGACCTAGCGTCTTTCCAGACCCGGGTGATGGCAGCCGAAGTGGCGTCCCGGAGAAGCTTCGCGTCCTTTGCATGGAGAACTTCTGCGTCGTCCAACCTAGAGAGTGATGCATCTAGGGAGGCAGTCGGCGTCGTAGCGCCGCTACGAGAAGGATCAAGCTCACGATAAGGAGCATTAGCTCCGACCTCCGACAGGTCTCTACCAACATTCTCTTGATAAGGGGCAGCAGCCCCAGGTAGGGATGGCGGAGACGCCGATCCCGATGCCGACCCGGTTGCCGCAGCAGATAGGCTTTGGCTTCGCGTGGTTGGCATGATAAGTAGCAGGTACAGAGAATAGTAGCACAGACGACGACGACTGTCGAGTGATGAGCAACCCCTTAAGTGCAAGACCCTTTATAGGAGGAAAGAGGGATGGGCGGGACGTACAGTATCCTGAGGGTCGGGTCAAAGTACGAAGTGACCACAGCGATCGATGAGATGTGGGATTGGATTTATAAGAATTAAATATCCCATGACTTTTCCGTGACTTTTGGTAAGATTCTAATGTGAATCCCTGACTTTCCCTAGGCATTGGATGCCGAAGCAGCGCTGATAGAGCCCGATGTTTAAGGAGGAAGGGCTAATGTTTATAAAAATATCATGAAGAGAAACGGAGATAAGGGAAAGGAATGCGCCGTGCGCCGCGTTGTTGTTTTGCGAACGACGAGGCGTCTCCTGGCCTACTGTATCCCGGCTGGCCCACGCACGCACTGTTGAAAAATGATTAAAAATGTCATAAGGAAGTCAGAATATGAACTCACCGTAAACGAGGTGGAACAATAGAGCGACGAACGCGGAGGAAGGAGCAAAAATGATAAAATGATGTGAGAGAACTTCAGATGATGACGTACGTATTGACATGTTAATCCTTGTTCACTAACGTGGTAGGTCAAGTGCGCGGACGTATCAATAGATCCTGATTCTAGTAACTATTAGCATAGAACGATGAAATGTCAGGATTTATCCACTTCTTGAGGGTACCCTTACTATTATCGCTGGCAGCAGAAATTGCCTTTTTCGCGCTCCTTCCTTCACACCAACCGAGCTGCCACTAGATGGCCACTGCATCATCATATGAAGAGAAACATATTCTTGTTAAAGGCCATCAGGCCCCGGGGCAAACTTTTGAACTTGGCTCTCGAGAGTTTGAAACTTATGAGGAAATACCCGTACGTAAAGTGCATGCTTGAATGTCCTTTTCGAATAGCAAGCTGATGCCCATTTGCTTCCCGAATTGAACAAAGGGAAAGCGAGAACAAAGGAATGGTCAAGTGCACGGAGCATCAGTGTTGCGATTTTGAAAACATTCGAAGAAGCGGCCGAAAAAACGCGTGATTCACGACGTAAGAACCCAGGGAGAGTTTTGCGAAACTTTGGTTTGAAACAATGGCAAGTGCAAGTGCATGAGATACTAGAAAAACAAGTAGGGAAACGGTTGGAATATGAGAAGAAGATTTGAATACTGAGGACGGGAACAAATGGGAATGCAAAAAGGTGTAGTGGTGCACACCGATGATCTACTGGCCGCTCGCTATTGAATTTCCGCAAAACCTTCCCAAAATTGCCTAGGCTCAAACAAAAGGTGATTCAAAAGAAGGTGCTAAAGGGGATTAAATAAGGTGCAAACAATAGAAGAGTTAGAAGTAAACAGGAATGGAAAGAAAAACGACGGGACTCCGAACTTCGCCTCTCAGCATTTGCTGAGCTGCGCAGGAAAAACGAGTTGATCAAGTTCATTCTTCCGTTGAGGCTCAGCAGAGCCAATAACGAAATTCAAACTGACCTTTCCTCCTTCGGCGTCAGGACTCGCTGCTACCAGTAATATAAGCGAGTTAACCGCTCGCTCGGACCGAATGCTTCTGATAGTTAAGCCGAGAATATAGTCAGTTTTATTAATAATGCTGACTTCGAGATCAGTCCGG